TAAAAAATATATAAATTTTATGTATTAATTAAATTTCACATATGAATATAGGTTTTTGACATTTTCGACATTTTTGACAGTGAGGTTTTTGACGTGACGGTTTAAACCATGGTTTAAACTGTCAAAAACTGTCACATGTCAAAAACCTGCCAACCCTGCCACCAAAGAGTCAGAACCTTGAGCCATAAATGGATTCAGCCCATGAACAGAATTTAAAAACAAAACAAATAGCAAATATCCACCTCCACCATGACCTTTGCCTTTCTTAAATTGCACAGTCCTACAGTCTCCATAGAGGTCAAAGGTTTCTACATTCATTTAGCAACCATGGGAGAACTTTATGTCGCAGTCTAGTTTAATAGTGTTATGATGGAGCAAATTTTGATGTAAGCAAAGTATCGCAAAGTTAAGATATTTCAACTGTTTGGCGATACATTACAGTCTAAAAAAACTGGGTAAAATGGATGAAATAATTTAAAGTAAGAGAATAAGTAAATAATTTAAATTAGCGAAATTAAAAAAATATCGAAGAAAAAATTTCCAGCTTTTCTTGAAAATTCCCTGATTTTCCCAGGTTTTTATCCAAATTTCCCTGATTTTTCCAGGTTTTTTCCAGAGTAAAAAAATGCCAGATATTTCCAGTTTTTTCAGGTGGGTGACCACCCTGTATTAAGACTTAGAATATAAAACTATATTAAAGGAAATGGTTATTACAGTACGGAACCAGTTATCCGGAATTCAGAAAACCGGAAAACCAAAACACCGGAACGAAATTCAATAAATTTTCCCGCCATTTTCAAAATAATAAATTTTTTTTCCTCATAAGATTTTAGGATTTTTCTTTCTTTTTTGAAAGATGTTTACCTTACCATCATTTTGGAAATAATCATTAGTGCATTACTTCATCGTTTTTTCTTCTTTTTAAAATTATTTCCAATTTTTTTTTTTTAGTTGGGTTTAACAATTAAAAAAACGGCTTTTTGTAGCGATGCAGAAAACCGGAAAAATCAGTTATCCGGAATAGCGATGGTAACGATCGTTCCGGATAATCGATTCCCTACTGTATTATTATTTTTGGGAAAAAAGTAGACGTGAAACATTTTAAACATTCTTGTCATACGAGAAAATTTGTTTTAATTTAAACTATGCTTATAATACTAATTGCTGAACAATTGTATTGGTCATTTTTGGTTAGAATATGTTGGATCATGCGAATGAGGTTCAGGGGAAATTCAGGTAGCCCTGGGGAAATTTTTTGGTCCAATTAAAAAAATGACATAAATGACTTTTTTAATCGCATAAAAAAGGAGCCATTTACAAATTATAAATTATTACTTTTTCAATATATTTTGAATTAAATTATTTTTAACAAAAGTGCTAGTTCATTCAAGAATTGTATAAAATCTAATTTCTTTTCCTCGTCAAAGAAATTTTTTTAAAAGTATTTTGAGAAAGTTATTATAACAAAGTTATAATTTCAGGGGAAATCCCAAACTAAGAAAAAAACAAACTGTGTTCTGAGAATTCACTGCAATCCTGCTCCTGTTATCAAAAAATTTTGAAAAATTTAGGTGTGAGTTAGCAAGATTTGACTTTATTACATAGCTAACAAAAAATAACGAAAAAAAATCCATTAGGCTTCAGGAAATAGTATAAATATTATAACTATAGTGTTATTCACATCTGAAACACAGAAAATGTAAGGTATTAAAATCAACAATCTACAAAAACTACATTATTCTAATAACTGTATTTAAATTAGACTGCAATATTTTCCATTTATGACTTGAATATAAAATGTTATTATGTTTCTGACACTTTTCAATTCAAAATTTAGAATAGTAAATTTAAAAGCAAGAGTTCTGAATAAAAAGAAACTGAAAATGTTAGAATATTCATAAAAGAAAAACATGAATTGGTTTACTGTGAAGTAAAGTAACATTATTATTTAGCAGTAATACTTATTTAAATACTCAAGCAAGAAATAAATTGAGTAAAAAAATTGTTTTGATAGGGATATTTTTCAGACACTTTCCCATATTTAGAGATAACTAAGACTATGAGAATTTTTGATTAAGCCAGAAAGTCAGGAGAAACTGGCAAAATCTAGTAGGTAGATTTAGCAGTTATGTAACATCAATATTAATATAACATCAATATGATAAGTCAATATGATAAGGAAGTAACTCTTTGGTACAATTTTAAACTTCAGGATTTTGCAACAGTTTTATTCCATTTTTGAATTTTGCAATTAAAAGATTCTTTTTCACCTCGCTAAAACGATGATTTAATAAACAAGATTTAAAAGCAGAGAATGAAGTCCATATAAATGGAACCACACACTGAATTTAAGTAACATAAAAAGGGGAAAAGTTATGTCTTTAACAACGTAAATGATATTTGAAATGATAAGTTTAAGAATAAATATTTATTTTATTACTCTTTTAGATAAATTTATCTCTATAATATGTATTTTAGATAAGTTGGGATAATCTATCAAACTGATTTTTAATTTAATATTATGCTACAGGGATGAGAGTAGTCAGAAAGTAAAAAAGAGGAAATCCAAGAATATATATATATATAACCAAAAATTTGACAAAAAAAGTCTGATTTTTAAACTTGTAAACCATAAGATTATAAATCCCGATATGAGGCTTTTAAATCACGTAAATATGAAACTCTATATAGAATTTAAAAAATGCGAAAATACAAATCATGATGCATAATTTTTAGATCACGATACATAATTTTTGAATCGCGTGATATTACAACCGCAAAAACGAATCACGACATTGGATTTTAAGCTCGCATGAATACGAATTGCTACATTGGGTTTTAAAAGCTCGTAAATAAAAATCGCGATGTTGGTTTTTAAAATCTCGTAAATAAGAATCACAATGTACAATATTTAAATCGCCTGAATTAAAATCGCAAGGTTCAACTGTTAAATCGGGCAAATACGAAAATCGATGTTTGATAATAAAATTGCGATTTTAAAAATGCATAAATACAAAACACGATATTGAATAGCGTAAATAAGAATCGCAATGCGCAACTTTTAAATCTGGTAAATGCGAAAATCGATGATTGATATTAAAATTGCGTGAATAAAAATCGAGATATTTGCAGAGTCTGGACTTGGGATTTCTAAAAGGCTTGCTTGCATTGTTTTTGCTTAGACATAATAAATAAAAATTTACAAGATTAACTGAATGAGCAAATAAATATTTTCACCGCAAATCCACCTCTATTTTTTTTCTTCTCTTTTTTTGTTTGTTTTCACGCCCGAGCTATCCCGCCGACGGATAAAAAATACGGAAAATCTTATTTTCTGTGCGTGATGCGGAGGGGTTAGCAGCTAGGACGTAGTTTGAATTTTCTGTTTATCTTTGAAAATCATAAATAAATATAACTATTTTACTTCAACGACTGAATTGTTTTAAAAAAGCAGGATATTTATAAAAAAAAAAAAACGAAACTTTTAGAGAGTCAGAGTTTCTGATAAAAAGGCTGAAATTCGAGAGACAAAAAAAATCTCACCCCTGTATAAAGGCCAACCAATTTTATCCCAAGGAAATGATTTTTAGAGAAATTTCAGAGGGAGGAATAAGGACTTCAATAATTTCGCTCCGTGGAAAATTAAATTCCTCACAAAATATTTTAGCTTGGGCAAAAAAAAATTTTCAGTGGAAATAAGCGGGAAAAAAAGGAAAAATCTGAAAAAAAGCGGAAATCTGCGGAAGAAGTAGTAGTAGTAGTAGTTCATTCACGTCGCACTAGAGCTGCACAATGGGCTATTGGCGACGGTCTGAGAAACATCCCTGAGGATGGTCCAAAGACATGCCATCACAATTTTGATCCTCTGCAGAGGAGATGGCACCCCCGCTTCGGTAGCCCGACGACCTGCACGCGAAGTCGAGCACTTTACGGTAGAACAGTTTAACGAGGACCAATACCGCACACCCTCGGTCCCTACGCAGACTGATCCAAGAGGTCACCCACCCGCACACTGACCGCAGCCAGTGAGGCTTGACTTTGGTGATCTGCTGGGAACCGTGTCTTAACGATCAGTCCACTGCGGGACATCGGCGGAAGAATCTCATCCCTGATGCTATCAAGCCTGATTTCCATCCTTCAAGAATTATTCTTAGATGGCTTAACAGAGGGTACAAATTTTCTTCGTCAATAAATTTTCAGACCAGTACTAAGTTCAGTGCATGTATTTTGTTTTATGATTCATTTCCAGTTACAAGAAAAACATCTATTTTTTACAGGAGCATGGTATATAAATAATGAGAATTGGCTTCATAATATTTCGGTTGTGAGTCACTATTGCTTAAAGTGCTGATGAAAAAATACAAAATAGCATTAATAATATAAAAATTAATCTTATTAAGTAAAGCATAAACTGCAATAGTTTTTTGGAGTTTGAGATCTGTTAGAAAAATTACAAATAATTTTGCTTCATAAAACTTAAAAATAAATTTTTTTAAAAAAAGGAGAAACCTTTGGTACTTACATCATATACAAAATCTAATGGCAGAGGCATTCTTAGATCAAATAAAGTCAAACCCTGCAAAATATAAAGAATAATGAGACAAAAATTTTTACTACAAGGAAATGTCAACTTAGTTACTAACAGAAATATACCTTTCCATTTACACAACTGCAAACTGCCATATTAGGGCATATTGGATCAGCAGCTAATCCAGCACGATCTCTTCCATTAAAGGCACCTATTCAAAATTTCATTTTCACATTATTAGAGGGGAATTTAGAAATAACATACTGTTAAAATTGGAGACCAAGCGGGAGATTTTTAATTGGAGTTGGGATAGCACATATGACTAACAGAATCGAAGCAAATAGAATAATTTTTCGCAGCTGCAGTCCTAATGAATTTTCAGAGCATTAAAGCAATATCTAAATTTCATAAAAGTTATTAATAAAAATATACCTTTTCATTTACACAGCTACATTAGGACACATTGGATCGGCAGCTAAATTGCACGATTACTTCCTTTAAAGGCATCTATTCAAAACTTCAATTTGAGATTAGTCTGATTCAATTTTATATTCTTAAAGGTCTTTAAGTTACAACTAACAAAAAAGTGAGACATTTTTCATTGGGTTCCATTTACCAATATAATAAAATAGAATTAGTGACTGCATTCCTGATGGCCTTGTAGAAGCATTTGAATTTCATAAAAGTCATTAGTAATAATATACCTTTTCATCTACGGAATTTGCTACAATGAGACATATTAGAATAATAGCTAATTCAGCAAGATATCTCTCATTAAAGGCACTAATTCAAAATTTCATTCTCTAATTATATTATATATCAAGATGGGAATAAGAAAGAACCTTTTGTTACATCCAGAGGCAGAACAATAAGTTTTTTGAAGGAGTTGAAGAAGCACACATTACCAATAGAATAAAACTGATGAGAATAGATTTTGCAGCTACAGCTCTAATGGATTTATAGCTTTGCAGCAGTTTTTGAGTATCAAAGGCTTTTAAATTTTTTTTTTTGAAAAGTATGACGTGTAATAAAGATAGTTCAAATGAATAAACGTAATGTGCAAAAATTTCATTTTTAATTTTATGGATAAATCAAATTTCGCATTTGGGTGACAATTCTCAACTTGGTAACCAGTTTGTAAGGAACTAATTCCCAGAGGGGCATTTTTCAAAGGGTTCTGGGTTGAAGGGGAGTGCATCAGTTAAAATATGTAACTGTTGTATTCTTGTCACCTGTTTCTCACCTGCATTTTTAATTCTTTACAGTATCATCCTAAAATATAAAAATTGATCGCCACAATATATAAAAAGGGGAAGAGTGATATTGAAATTTCAGAGAATAGAATTTTCAATTTTAAGAAGAAAGAAGAGGGAAAAAAGTCACCAGATAAGTTGTCCTATAATAAGTGTCCCCTAACCAAAATATAAGGTATTAAATCATAAACAATGCATCGTATCCCTGCGAAATTACAGTATTAAATGTAATAATGATTCACAATTTTTCAATTGTAAGAGTCATCTGAAATTTGAATAGAATAGGATGAATAGTTTTAAGGAAACAAAAATTTAAAACACAATCTTTTTGAATTATTATTGCTCAAAAACTAATGGACATATTTTGCTCAAATTTTAGGTTGTAATATTTTTAATTACTTTGTTCATGGTGCTGCTAAGATTTTTATGATTTTAATTTCATAAATTTTTTGATCACAATTAAATAAAAACTAAATAATTAAAAAAAATAATTACTGCAACACTTTTGAATGACCATTGTTGACTCTTTTACATTTCATCTTTGTATGACTGACTAGGATATGACTGTTTTGCAGTTGGACAAGTGCCCTGCACTATCTTCTTGCTCTACTCAAGTAGAAAAATATTGGAGAGTCTGTAGTTTAATTAAAATAATTAATAATTTAAATAAAATTTTATATTTGAGACGAAAATTCCTTTCATTTGCTTATACAGAATAAGATTTGGTGAAAAGTAAAAATAGCATTATGAGGCTTAAAGTTTTGACCACTTTCTTATCTAAGCTATTGAGAACACATTCTCTAGATTGCAGTTGCCCCATCCCATAACCTACAGGCCTGAAATACAAATCTGTTGAGGAAAAGGCCTCTTTAATCAGAGAGAGTGTACTATTACCATTCTTATAATTAAAATTATCATCTGCATTAAGAAATTGCATCTTGGTTTATGGAAATCTAATTATTAGGTCAAAAATGATTTATGACATAACATTTTCTTTTGCACGCTAAACATTTTAGCATTGTGAGAAAGTAAATTATTTATAGTATATTTCCTTAACTTTTAAATTTTTCCCATTTAAGCAGTTTACTTTTGTTACGTAATCAAGACCAACAGAACCAGTCTTGCATTTTATTTTATTTCAGCTCATCTCATTCAATTATTTTTTTTATGTGTCGAATTTTGTTCGTATACTTTTGGCATGTAACTCTGTTTCGCTAATCAAAAATTAACCCTACATCTTTTCAAATTAAAAGTAAGGCAATAATTGGTAGTATGTAAGGTCACACACCTGCCTGATCTAGCAAAATTATATTTTAACTACTACCCTTTCAAGACCCTGGACTAGTTGGTACCTTTTAAAAGTTAGAGCTCACCTCACCCATTTCTCTTTCTAAAATTCAATTTAATCTAAGTTAATTTACAGTTGATTTCTTAACCCTGCAGGCACAAATAAATGATTTGTTTTAATAAATTAAATAGTGCTATGCTTTCTTATTAAGGTTAGATTTTGGTTATTTATTTCGCATAATTGTCTTGCATTTGAGATTATATTCTTGGATAAAGTTAGTCATTATAAGTTAGTAATTCATATTGAAATTAAGATTTTGAATGCCTGGCATTAACTAGAGGATTTATATAAATTACTGATTTCTGGCATGTTTCTGCCGATAATGAAATCAGATGCTGAATGATTGTGAAATTTATAATTTTGAAATGTTATTTTTTGCCTGAAAGAATTATTGGCATTAATTTTGTAATTAAATATTAGAATTACTGAATTTTGTATTTTTTGTCTGATTGAATATTGGGCGTGAAGTCATGTATGTCACAATGTTTAAAAAAGTGACGTGGTGGCTCAAGGGATAGAGTGATCACCTTCAAATGAGGTGAACTGGGTTCGAATCTCAGCGATGGCTGGTTGATACGAATTCTGCACCCGGATCGTACCGACCACAAGGCTGATGTAAAATATCCTCAGTGGTAGAAGGATCATGGGTTAGAGTCCTCTTGCTGTATGGCTACCCGTGGGAGATTTCCGTGGTTTTCTTCTCATGTAAAGCAAATGTGGGCTAGTTCCGTTAAAAAGTCCTCCACAAAGGCAACATTTCTCCCAATACTTGATCCAAGAGTTCCTTTATCCTCCGGATTGGGCTCAAAATTACAAGACTATGGAGTTGAACACTAGCAGTTGCAAAACCAAAAAGTTATTTGCAAACCCAAAATTGGATCGATTGTTCAACAACGGTTATAAAATAAAATAAAAATGTTTTAATAAAAGAATTTGTTTTTAGTAAATGATGGGGATCAATGATGATGGACATAATAAGAAATATTCTAGAATATAATCAATATACTCATTCAATAAATTATTAGTATTTTGAGAATACATTTTCTAAGTTTAATTATTAGTTTTGATTATATATTCATTCATGGGTGTTGCAGAATATTGAATTTCTGGATTTACAATTATTTGGTTATTAGATTTTGTCAGTTTTATTTTCTTATTTTATTACAGCAAACTTTAATTTTACTTAGAAATTAATTTTTAATGTTGATTTTTTAATAAACCAAATTGCCTGATTTCTGTTCAAAATTTATTCAATGATCCTATTTAAATACTTAAATTTACAGTTATTTAAAAATCACTCTTATTATTTTATTTTATGCTTGCTTACTATGTTTTTCCATTTTAACCTAATCATATGTAAATTTGAAATAGCCATTTAACTTTTCTCTTTTTGTCTTAAATTTAATAGTCTTTCTTTTTGTTATCTGTTAATTGGGATAAACGTAATAAATATGAAGAATAGACAATCTTGTCTTTTTTAATTTATAATGTGAAGTTATTTTATTTCTACATGCAGTATTTTTTTGATATATGGATTTAAATGGTACGTAGCAATATTGTTTTTATACATTCTCTCATCATCTATTTAGTTAATCGTGAAATTTTACAAAATATTTTAATTTCAGAGGAGTCATTATTTTTATATATTTAAACCAGTTATCAATTGAGCACAAAAGTGCGATAGATCGACTGATTTATTTTTGTCACAAACTTTATATCCACTGTACCTACATCTTACGCAAGTTTACGTTTGATCACGAGTAATTAACCTATTCCATTATAGTTTAAATTTATTTATTTGTACAAATGACTCCCCTGAACACTTAATACAATCAACCTTTATTTTTAAACTACATTCTGTTTGCTTTTGCACCACAACCATCCCAAACTGTACAAATCTGAACATTTTATATTTCTTTAACAACTTTTACAAGCATAATATGCATCTTGAAGTTGATAGACAATCTAATTGTTCAACTTGTTAAATTTTGCAATGAGTATGCTCTAGTAGTAACCAATTTGTGAAAAGCATGGAGAACGCTTAGCAAACCCTCTAGGTGAACACTTAATAAACTCTTATGAGGAACACTTTGGGTTCTCATAAGAGTTTGTGAAGTGTGTTTGTTTTGAATGTCTGTTTGTAAAAGTTCCATTTTGCTAAATAATAAAATAAAATAAAAAAGAATGCGGGTTATTTTACAGTGTTTTCACACAAATTAAGAAGCTGAATGCTTATAATACAATTTTTGAAAACTCCACTTGAATAAACTACCTAACTATTCTAATTTATTTTATTATTACAATATGGAACAAAATTTAATGGCTAATATTGAAGAAAAATCAACTAACTAAATAAAAATAACATTTCAAATTATTTTTAATTAGAAAATCAAAAACATTTTGCTTTCTACATTATTTTTTTTTATAATAACTCACAGTTATCATAGGACATCACTTGTTCCCCTCTTTCAACATCAATTACAGCTAATCTTCGAGCAGTTGTTGAAGCCAGAATCTAAGCAAAGAAGATTTTTAAGGTAAAAAAATTTAAAAAAAATGTTTTTAAGAAAATTTTACAGATAAATGTTTATTTTATCAAAATTGTAATTTATTAGTATATTTATGTGATTTAGAGATGGTTCAAGAGAACTTTGACTGATAATTTGAATAAAATTTCTCACCATAACTACTTTTAAAAAGCATTCTAAAATACAACAATCTATAAAGTTTAATAGCTCCCTTTGGTAGCCGATTTGTCCACCCTTATCGCTTTGGGACTTAACATTGATTTTGCTGCTTTCATCTGCATTACTGTGACATTTTGGTCCTTTCTCTCAGACATGCCACTTTGCAATTCCTCTTTGAGTTACCTCATACAGTGAATTGAATAAAACATTCGTATTTAGAGTTTAAATAGTAAGATGTTAAAATCATCTACAGAATCACTTTTTCCACAAACAGTATCCCGACTCTTTAAAATTCATTCTTGCTCATGCTTAAAGACCTTTTTTAACTTGAAGAATTATAAAAACACCATTTAAAAAGCCCTCTAAACAAAGATGAGACAAAGAGACTCTCTGCAAATAAGCTAAAATGCTGTAAATGTTCATTTTAAAAAGTAATAAAAAAGAGTGTACAAAAGGAAGGTTATTACAAACTCGTTTTTCTTTCTTCTTTTCTTGGAATCTTATACAGTAAAAAAAAATTCTGTTACATTTATCAAAGTAGCAAAAATGATATCGAATTTCTTTGTTTTTTTCCCCATAAATTTTTCATTTTTTACTAAGCTGTCATACTGTTATAAGTTTACTTTCAATTTAATCCCTGCAAGGTTAGAAATTTTTTTCCCTTTATTTATTATAGAAACCAGGTTTTTTTTTATTTATTTAAAACAAAAGGCAATAATATTTTAAATAATAAATTTAAAGAAAAACAAATTGACCATTAAAAAAAATCTCATAAAAAGTTTTCAATCATTAGTTAATACTTTTAGTATACAATTAAAAAATTTCATAAATATCATACCTCAATCTCATTCCAAAAATATGCTAACATGATAAAAAGAATAACTGAAAATTTTCAATATACTTATTTGACTTCTTTAATTCTAAATGTTTATTCATTTTTATGTTTATTAGTAGTTAATGTTAATTAGTGTAAAATTTAAAAACTAAATTCTGTTAATCGATTTAAAAAAGATGTGATAGACAAAAGTTAACAATATTTCACTAAAATACCTTTGCGCCATCACTAGTGAAACGTACAGCATTTACATTTCGAGCCAGTCCTAGAGTAGATATCTGGAAAAAAATTATAAGGTCAAAATAATACTTAATATTAATGAATTTTTTGAATTGTGAACCAAACCTAAACAAAATTTGAGTAAGATACAAAGGTTTAGTTTTTTATTGCATAACACACCTGTTATTTTTCTTATTGTACAATGAAGAAACAAACTTTGGAAAGAAAATTATTGTAAAACTTAACTCCGCTTCAGATTTGAAGTAATTTCAAGACGTTCAATCTTTTTTTTTGTGCCATATACAAAAAGAAAAAAAGAACACTCCGACTCTAATGATCATATTTTAACATACTGAAACTCAGTATTAATGATCAGAAAGTCGAACCCTAATTAATAGTGTAGATGATATATTAAGTTACGAAATCAGATGTGAAAAACTTACTTTCTCCAATTTAAACATACCTTTTTTTTTTCCTTTTTAAAAGAGTAATTTGGATTCCTGATCCTAAAAATATTGAGGGTTATAGTATTCTAGGAAATCTGGTCCTAATAGTTAGGTCAGGAAAGCGATTGAAACTTTGGACACTTTTCAGTTATTACTTTTTTTTCTTCGTATTTTGCCATACTTTTTAAGTTAACTGAAAATTTTTTGTTTACTATTTTAAAATTATTTTATCCACAGCAGATTTCATGCAAAAGTAATTTTAAATAATTATTGATTAATATTTAGTGTTCTTTTTTTGTGCATTTCTCAATGCAATATGTAAATAGGAACATTGTCAACCATTCTGCTATGGCGGACAAAGTAAACTTTTTGATTAAGAACCTAAAAGTTCTTTCTGATAGACCAGACCTTACATTTTATGTCATGTAGAAAGTAACACCTTCAGTTGTGTTTTGCATTATGCTGCTTAGAATTATTATACTGCATTGCTCTACCACTGTTTTAAGCCAGATGCAGGGCTGTATCATATTTAAGATAAAAGTTGACATTTTTGCAAGTCTTTTCTTAAAACTAATTACTATTTTTGAATTTCTTCAGGAGTTTAATTAGATCTTTAGAACTGTCTGCCATTTCTTAATCCATTATCTTATTAATGTAGAACTTAGTCCAAACTGAATCAGCATTAGACTGCAGTTTAGTCAAGTAGATTCTGAGTTACCTTCACAATCCAGATAGACTAGTGCCATATTGTTTAGTCTCATACTGAACTCAGACTTCTCTGTTAAGCTGTTTTTCAAGGACCTCTACAGAGGTTCTACAACAAGATGTGCTATGCATTTCTGTTGATAAAATATATTTATCATAAGCCATTGTCTTTCAGATCTGGTTAACTTAGATGTTTTCAAGTTACAAACAACATGTGCAGTAACATTTAGTAATTCAATCTGTGCAGTAAGGGGCCTTTACACTCTTACTATGCTCAATTACTTATAAATTTCTCCTTCTCAGAAACTTTAAGTAATTTCATCAAACAGTTTTATAGCCAAGATGTCAAGTTTATAAAAATAAAGACAGAAATCTTATGCGTGAATTTCTGATGAATAAAATTTAATCATGTTTGCTGCTTTTAAATTTGCATAAGAAAATATACTTATGGAAATTTTTTGATTATGTTATCCTAACCTGTCAGCCTACAATAGCTTCTTTAGTGAATATTGTCAAGATTTAGATTTGGAAAATACCAAAAAATAAACAAGATTAAGAAGTCTCTAAAAATAAAGATTTTTTTAACTCTATAAATAACAGGTGTAATACTATATTAAAAATAACATTATAGCAAATAATCCTTGTTATATATAGAAATTGCATGAAATAAATTTTTTTTCTTAAGGTGATAAAAATTTAAGTACAAATTATTAAATTTCTTTACATTTATGCATCAGGAAAATGAGTGAAAATGGACATACACTTTATTGCTTTAGTTATTCTCTGACACCTGCAGCGCATTTGTTTGCATTTTGTTAGCAATTATCAAAACTATAAGTGTATAGCTTATTTCTGACTCTCATTACATATTACTAATAATGTTTTCATATTAGAACTTTACTAACTTACCTGGTAACACATAAGTAGCTCCATCCTTTGTGCTGAGTACAAATTAACTTTTCCATCATAAGCTCCAGAACAGAACAAATATCGATCCTAAAGTTTTAAAAAAATGGAATAAAAAGCACATTTCTTAATTCATTAATTCTCTCACAAATAATATACTTTTATTTGTAATGGGTAAAAACAGTTTCAGGAGTGATTGTGAGCCTAAGTCAAAATTTCGGAAAATTTCTTGAGTTAAAAAAAACAAAAAAACAGTTTAAATTGAAAAAAATTTAAACAAGGTTTTTTTCCTATATTTCTCAGTTTACTTAAAATATATTTAAAATTTTACACATACCTATACCATTTACACATAGCTAGGATGACCTGGAGAAGTAATTAAAATTTACAAATATGTCTTTCTTTCTTGAGTTTATGATTATAACAACTATTTACTGATAAAAAATGAATATTAATCCTGAATATAAGCTTATAAAGTATCTCTCTGGCTCTCCCTTACAAACAAATAAAATAAACTGTGTTTTTAAGTTCCACCTTTGAAAATTTGGTTTCCGGAAACTTCCAGATCACTGTTAGCGAAAATTCCGGAAATCCGGATTTTTTCCGGAGCACAATCACCCCTGCAGTTTTAAATTGTAGGTCAGAGAAAATTATTAGATGTTTTCTAACAAGGGGTCACTTAACATTTTATTTAATTTTTTGCTTTGTCATAAAATAGCAAATATATGGAAGAACAGCTTCATGATAAGTCAATCATTTCACCATTTCAACCTGGCAGCATTGTGAAAGGCACACAGACTTGATCACAGTTGTTTTAAAATAGTTAATTATTTTAAGGTTTTAAGAAGTTTAATTTAAATTCAAAAATGATTTTTAATAGAAAGAGGTAATTATATAATTATTAATTAGGAATATTTAGTAAATTAGAGCTGATGACCAGAAAAATTAACGGTAGTACTACTGAACACAAAAACGAATGGTAGCACTATGAAACATACTTGGTAGTAAAAATTTAGTTTCAAGTCATCTATAAAATATTTTATCCATGCATGCTTCGTTGCAATAAAAATGTAAATCAATACTTAGACTGAAAATGCACTAAAATGTTTCTAAATGTGTTTGCTGAATTATGTATAAAAATAAGGTTCCCATTGTTTTTAAAATAAAAACTACCTACAAAATTTTTATTTTATTTTCATTTTTTATCAAAATAACTGGCTTGGTTTTTTAGCACATGCTTTTATTTACTAGGAATTTAATCTTCAATGGTATCTAAATTAGTTATAGCATTAGAATAATTAATGTGTTATAAGAAAATATTTATGTTTTGTTTGCAACTGTTTCCATTTCACTCAGATAAAATGCTAAGCCCACAAAGATAAATAATAAAAATATATTACATTTATTCATTTGTTAAAAAAAACTTAGAGAGTAATACACAGATCATATTTTTCTGTATTTATCTTTGACTTTTATTCATTACGCTTTTAATAACTTGAAATAAATACTTGATAATTATTAATTACCCCACCCTAATATTTGATGCCACGATACCACACCAATACTAATTTACTTAATACATTAGGTTTTTTTTATTACAGATAAACTTATTTTCCTATATTTACTATAACTATATTTACTGGTTCTTAACAAATAATTTTTTTTTCTCTTTGCAAAATATCTGTATGCAACTTTATATATAACTGTAACTTATTATGCAACTTATATGCAATATCTGTATGCAACAATATTTGTTGGCAACTTTATTCACTTTTTTGAAAAAAAAAAAATCTTAAAAAGATTTTCAGATTATAGTACAGAATGAACTATTTTGATTGATTTTCTACGCCTTGATGGTCTGAACAGCTTAGTTTAAGATAGTAAGACCACACATAATTTTGAAACTACAAAATAAGAAAAATTAGTTAAGTAAATGATAAATAGTTAAGTATTAAACTATTTAATAATTTAACCATTAAGATATTTAGCTATTTATAAATTTTAACAATAATTGTAAAATAATATTAAAAGGGGTCTATAAATCCTGGATGCACAAACACCTAAAAGATTTAAGCAAGCAAGCAATAGAATAATAAAATCAGCTATTTTTTTTATTTTAACAAGTTAATACTATCAGGCTGTTGGCAACAAAAGATTGGTTTTGGCTTCTAGAAACTTTTAATTCTTGTACACCTCTGTTAATAACAAGTTATGCACAAACAGAAAATTATAAGTCTAATAAATGGAAATTAGGTGCCTGGGTGATTTCACAGTATTGTGCATGCTGCGGACATGACATTTACAAAGTTTGATTACTCATAATTAAATATAAAATTGAGCTAAGTAACTGGTTTTTGTATCATAAAATTCAGGAGACATGTCATCTTTTAACCCAATGCATATTTAAAAATAAAAATGAATTTAAACAGCTTTTAAATAAAAATTTGAAGCGTTGCGGACATAACGTAGAAAAATATGGTTTTTAGAATGTTTTTCAACATTCACAAAAATCTCTGAGTTTTATGAAATAAATTACAACTTTTTTTAGGTAAGATTTCAATGTATATTTATATAAAAGAAATCAAGAATTCTGAAGAAATAAAATTAATTTAATTAAAAATTACCAAATTAAAAACAATACGCATGTTGCAGACATGATGTTGCAGACACGACAGAAAGTTTCTCATTATAAATAATCTTCTTAGATATGGTCATATATCATTGGAATATTATATATTTCTTTTGGTAAATAAAATATTGAGTAAATCAGGATTGTTAAATCATTTTTCTTTTAATATTTAAAATTTTGAACTTAAAATTTTATTATAAAATTAATTATTCAAAATTACTTTTATTTTAAATTTTAGGCAAAAGATGTGTAAACAATCACATTACAATTTATTTATTATATTATTTATCTTTAAGGCAAGTTCTGAATTGTATGAAAAAACCGTGCAGAATGATCAGGTGAAGGATCGCATGGCAAAGGACATAAGTATGAGTCGATTGAAATTGTTTCAAATTGCGGTTTTTCCAAATACTTAAACTTGTTTATAGCTACGGGTTTGAAGTGGTGTTTAAGTGTAATATTTGTCTTGCTTGAAGAAATTATTTCGCCAGGCCACCAATAGTTATCGAACAATACGCTATCCACTGGTCTTCTTCGAAAACTGTAACTGGTGTTAAAGCTTGTTGCTGTGAAGCTACAGCAATATTTCAGCTAGGTGCATGATTTGGGGACTAGAGAAAGGAGAATTTAAAGAAAATTCAACTGAATTAAGTATTATAGGTGAGATGAAAAGCAGTAATCTCGTATTTGAGATCAATTTGCAGAGACTATAACGTTCTTTCAACATTGATGCCTCATGATCGACAGTCTTTGCTTACATGCATAATTTCTACATTCCCATCTGAAATTTTACAAGCCACTTCAAAAAACGATTTTGCATCAACGACAACTTCTCTACCTTGCAATACAGCTCTCCAAACTACATCTTTGATGGTGCCACATATTCCATCACCGACACCATTCCCATGTGCTGTTTTGAAAAATGACCAGTCAGCATCAATGTTGAAATTTTCTTTGTGACAAGTCAAATTTGCGAACATAAATCGATTTTTGAATTGACTGGTAGCTCTATCAGACCAGTAATGTACTTTTTTAGTTGTACTTTTTTTTTTGTTCCATTAGATGAGATAAAAATTTTTTATTAAAAACTTGCACGCTATCTTTATTGTGTGAATGGTCATCAGAGATAATGGCATAGGACTGATGGTTTAAAGAATTATTTCTACCATCCTTGAAATGTGCAACACAAGAGTACACTGTGACGTGGTCTGATGACCAGTGTGCACTCATGATTTCCCGATCGTCTTTTACTGTATAGTTCTCAGCAAAGTCAATATGCATTATGATTTCATTGTCAGAAAGATTTTCTTTTGAATGACGAAATTCAAAATGTTGTTTGTAAACATTATAGATGTGTCTTGCAAATGATTGTAGCTGATATCCTATTTCTTCTTTTGTGCTACCTAAATCAGTAACGATTTCTTTATTAACTGTGAAACCTTGTTCATTTTGTTGCCATTGATAAAACTTGACGATGCTGTTTAAATTTTTTTTCTGGTACTTTTTTATCTAAATATTTTTTGACACTGCAATCTTGACAGGACCTGTCTATGCAGTCGATATGTTCATCAACAAAATTACACACACTTTCTTTTGCAATTGTTTTCGAATTTTTCGGAAGATCAGGACAGAGAGCTCCGATTCCCGTAAGAATCATAGAAATGTTTTCGTGGTATATATGTTACGGGCAATGTAATTATTTAGGTCAGTATTCATAATGCTTAGTTATTATGAATAATGACCATTAAAATTAGGCAATTTGATAAACTTGAATTACTTTACGATAATTTCTCACATTGCCCGGTCATTATAAATACCGCTATTATTTCTTTGAGCATTTTGATTAATTGACAGTAATGGGACAACCACGTGAGAGTGGTGTGATTCTGGCGGGCCAATGTTCACCGGTAAATGTTGACAATCAAATGAGTCGCTTTGGTGAATGTCCGAAATATTTATTACATCCAATTTGATACTAATTTATTCGTGGATATAATTACATTTATTCGATATTTTAATACTTACTGACGATAGATTAGAACAAACATCAGTGTTTGGAGTATCGGGCAAATATATACCGGACAATGGCACTTGACTTTAAAAAAATATCAGCGTAGGGTATACCGGGCAGTGGCACTTGACTTTAAAAACATCAGTGTAGGGTATACCGGGCAAATGTATACCAGGCAGTGGCACTTGACCTTAAAAAAACATCAGTGTAGGGTATACCGGGCAGTGGCACTGAACCTTAAAAAAACATCAGTGTAGGGTATACCGGGCAAATGTATACCGGGCAGTGGCACTTGACCTTAAAAAAACACCAGTGAAGGATATATCGGGCAAATGTATTCCTAACATAATTTAGAACAAATAGAAATGCTGCCATAAATTCAAATGTTTAAATTTAAAAAATATACATTTTTTTAATAAATGTAGAATTTAGACATGTTTTAAACAAAGTAATTTGTCAGTGTAATTGGTCATTAAGAAAATAAATGGCAACAGAGCAAATTTTATAAGTTTTACAGTTTGTGACAAGAATTTCAAGCTTAAATGCTAAATAAAAGTAAGCAAAATTGTATTTTGCAACTTGTCATGTCTGCAACGTTGCGGACATGACATGACCAATTTGAAAAGTCTTCAGAAAATATTAAATAAAAAAAATTATAATTTTTTAAAGCTCATAATACTGCAACACTGCAAATAGTTGAAAGAAATCCAATTTTTAAGAAAATAAATCTTTTAACTACTTTGTTTTAATAAAACTTTTTAAAAAAATCATTAAAAAGCAAAATTGTTCTACTATAAGCACCCTATATTTAAATACCTAAATTAAAAATTATGTTTTTACAGTCATTAATTATGCAAATCCAATATATCTCTTAAAATATCATGTTTAATTACAAATATTAAATGTTGCAACTGAATTTTTTTTTCCCTCTCTGTCATGTCCACAACTTTTTGACCCAATTTTTTCACATTTTATGCAATTTAAAGAATTTGCATCATTATTTACAAAAAACTAATTTAATATTCATAAAATACATATAATGACCTTTAATTTGATATGCGGTTTATTAAATTTATTGGAGAAAAAAAAATTAAGCATGCCAGGCTACAAATAGTGCGGAATCACCCGCCTCCAAGTATTACTGAAGCTATTACTCGCTCAATTACAATTGTTTCAATAACAAATAGAATTTTTAAAAATAATACAGTTAAATGCATTAAGAAAAACATACTCTTGGACTAAATGCGACTCCTCGAACACTTCCTTGATGGAATTTCAAGTATTTTGGAGTGCCCTCTTTCTGCATTTTCTAAGATTTTCAACTAAAATACAAATGTAGGAGACCTAAAAAAAAAAAATCTTACAAAATAGGCATATGTTTTTTTTTTTTTCCCATTTAGAAAATATAAGAAAAGCAAAATAATTCAATGAAAGAAAACTACCACAGAAGAAAAAAGCAAATTAGATTCTTTTGAATTGCTAGATCCATGTCAGTGACTACAGAGTTGAACAATGAAAAAAAAAAACATTTACATATGTCAGGGTTCATTCTAAGTGGGGTAAATAGGGCAGGGTGCCCTGACATATGAAGGGGGAATGGCTATTCGCGCCAATTTTTTGGTAAAACAACGTGGTTTTCTGATAGTTTTTTCAGCAGAAGTAAAGCTCGTTTCGGCTGTAATTAATAGTTTTTTCCGACCAATTCCTTATGATTTTTTCAAATTCTGATACTTTAATACATTATTATAGACATGCGTATTTTGAACTTAAGCTATCACTTTTTTAATGTGTTCTATTAGTGACGATTCCATCGTACTTTCACTCTGCTTGATAATTTCTTTTGGAAGCTATTAATCATTTTTTCAACTTTTTTCACATAGTGTTTAATATTCGATAATCTTAAGACCATATTATTACATCTTTCGAATCAGGGTTATCTCTATTTGATACTTTCGATTTGTGACGATTCGATCGTAATTTCACTGCATTTGATTATTGTTTTTTCGGAAATTATTTATAATTTTTTCAACTCCAATATGTTTAATATGACGTTATCACGATGTTCGAATGTAAGTTATCATTATTTGATGCTCTTGATTCGCGACAATTCCATCATAATTTCACGTTGTTTGATGATAATATTTTCGAAAGATGTCAATTTTAAGGCTTTTTTACATGCAATTTCAAATTTGATATTTTTAATACGATGTTACTAAGTGCGAATTTCAAATTCACGTTATCACTGTTTGATACGCTCCTATCATGACGATTCTATTGCAATGCCATTATTGATAGGTTTTCCAAAGTTTTTTTTATCATTTTATCGACCCCTTTCAAATTCCAATATTTTTATTGCAATGCTACTACAACGTTCGATTCGTGACAATTCTTTAACACTAGATAATGTAATAGCACAAACTTCCCAGAAAACTTAATAGTTGTTTCACCTGTTGTTATTTATCATTTTATCCACCTTTTGAATGTGGTTTTTATTTTCCCCCGATATTTTTATAAGATTTAATACAACAGTTTAAATTTCAAATTAAAGTTATCTCTTCTAAGGTGTTCTTTAAAAAGTGATTCACAATAAAGTGATTCTATTGCAATGCCATTATTTATAGGTTTCCTGAAGTTTTTTATTATTTTATCAACCCCTTTCAAATTCCAATATTTTTATTGCGATGCTATTACAACGTTCGATTCGTGAGGATTCTTTAATTCTAGATAATGTAATAGCACAAACTTTCCGGAAAACTTAATAGTTGTTTCACCTGTTATTTATCATTTTATCCACCTTTTGCATGTGGTTTTTATATTTTCCCGATATTTTTATAAGATTTAATACAACAGTTTAAATTTCAAATTTGAGTTATCTCTTCTAAGGTGTTCTTTAAAAAGTGATTCACTTTTTAAGGATTACGAGGATTCCATCATAATTGGCATCATTTCCAACAATTTCCACTCGTTTTTTCTTATTCTGATAATTTTAATATGATGTTATAAGGGCAAGCGAGTTTTTCAATTTGAGGTGTCACTTTTTAACATTCTCAACTTGAATCAATTCTACCGTAAATCCACATTGTCTATGAATCCTTTTTCGGCATCTGTTTGTCATTTCTTGACTATTTCCATGTTGTTTTTTTCCGATTTAATTAATACGATGACACGGCTAACAAATATCATATTTTAGCAGTCACTTTTTCATAAACTTGATTCGCGCCGATTTCATCATAAATCCACATTAATTTTAGATCGCTTTTTCAGTAGTTATTACAACTACTTACCGTTCTTTATTCATTTTGACAACTTTTTTAAAATCCCGATATGTTTAATAAGTTATTATTACGACACACATTTTCAAAATTCGAGATTTAAGCTCATTTTAAAATAAATTTATAGAATGTGAAAATTTAACTGAGGAATTACTTTTAATATAAATTTTATCTTCAAAAAAGATAAGATTTATTTCAATAAAAAATTAAACTTGGTATATTTTGGCAGTCTTAAAAGTTATGCAAATATTTGTGAGCAGTGCCCTTTTCAGCTTCTAGCGCCTTGCACTTTTTAAGCTCTAGAATTAACACTGTATGCAAGTATGTATAAATAAATAAATAAATAAATAAATAAATAAATATATATATATATAGCACACTAAAGACAGAAAGGAAAGGAGAAAAATGAAAATAAAATTATTTACTGTTGTACATAAGCTGCAAATATATAGAACTCACAAAATAAGTTAAAAATATAGAGAAAACATGGTAAAATAAAGATTAATGAAAAAACAAGAAAAAATTATTAAAATTAATTATTATTAAAAGTATAAAAAAATTTTTCTTTATATTTTTTAATTAATATATTCTATTTTTGTTTAAATTCTCTTTTTAAGGGGGGGGGGCTTCTCACACTATTATATTGATATACAGTAGGGAACCGATTATCCGGAACGATCGGGACCATCGCTATTCCGGATAACTGATTTTTCCGGTTTTCTGAATCGCTACATAAAGCCGTTTTTTTATTGTTAAACCCAACTAAAAAAAAATAAATATTGGAAATAATCTTGAAAAGAAGAAAAAACGATGAAGTAATACACTAATAATTATTTCCAAAATTATGGTAAGGTAAACATCTTTAAAAAAAGAAAGAAAAATCCTATGAGGAAAAAAAAATTTTTTTTTTAAATAATGGTGGGAAAATGTATCGAATTTTGTTCCGGTTTTTCAGTTTTCCGGTTTTCTGATTTCCAGATAATGGGTACTGTACAGTATTTTGCTTTGGCTATATTAATACAATATCAGAAAGAACTTCATTTTGCTGATATAATCGTGTGAGCTGATGATGAGAGAGTACATCTTTTCCTCTTTTTGTTTTCCGGCTTTTTAATATTTTTAAATATATCTATACAAATCAGCCAGAAAAACTAACAGAGCAACAGGTGTGTCAGGTTTTGTACAAATCAAATTTTCACACAAAAAAGTTGAACAAAATAAATACGAAAATACATATCAGGAATAAAATTAGTGGGTTTATAAATTTTCTATATCAGGTATGAAAAAGTAAAAGCTACTTCGAAATAATTTCTACTTATTTTCATTTTGAATATCAAGAGGGAGTAGATTTTAACATTATAACTTAATATTTATTTGATTAAAACAACATTACGATTATTTATTCAAAACTGTTTTCTGATTTTTCTCAATTCATGTAAGTAACAATTGATTAAATAACAATTTTTATCATTTGTCTAAACTAATCCTGAATTACAAAAATACACTGATCAAAACAAAGAGAACATTTTTTTGCAATAAAAAAAACTAATAAAGCAAATAAAACCGAATCTAACCAAAATATCATCCCATATGTACTGTATATATACTATACTAATATACACAACCTGTACCCTTAATAAGGAAACTGATCACTTGTCCAGCACAGTAGCTGATTGACAGCCTGTCAGCCAGAGAAAAGCATACTTAAAGGGTGCATGATCGCCTCTCTCTTCATTTTATGCTATTTACCAGGGTCTTAATCAATATCAGTTGCAACTGCACCCACTATTGCAGCAAGGCCCCCTTGAGTTCATCCATGGTCCTTGGAGCTAAACTTTGATCAGCCACTGAGTGTCTAAGGATGTCCCATACATGTTCGATGGGAATTACTCCTATCACTGAATATCCTCTGAGAGGAGTTATTTGTCCACCAATTGAATTCGGTCCATATGCTCCATGGTGAGTCTCACGTAGGAAGCCATCCTAGTACTTGCATTGAAAGCATGAAGGTCGGCATGCCAGTCTGCCACCATGACTGTCCAGACCATTAGACTACTTCAACCATAGTGGTTCTTTTTGAGAATGTTAGAGGGCTGATATCAACTTTAAGTCATTCGAGTTGCTGACCAGACTGAATCACGACTCATCACTGAAGAGATCCTGCCCCAAATTCTTTGCATAGGGCAAGTGTTCTCTGCACCATGCTAGATGTTCCTTTCTGTGGTTCACAGTCAAAGGGATGCAGGCATTTAATCCTGCACATTTAATCTCGGGGGTGACCGTTATCCGTGAAATGGGTGTTTCTGTTGCATTATACAGGTTGCGAGACAGTTGTGTTTCTGTCATGAATCTATTCCTTTTGATTAGAAGTCTCAAACAACAAGCTTGAACTGGTGTTGTTGCCCTTTTGTGGTTTTGACCAAGTCGGCAACCACAGTTCATGTCTCTGTGAACTGTTTTCACAGGCTAGACACCATATTTCATAAAACCAGTATTGAGTTTTCATGTGACATATCAAATCTGATCCGAAATCTGACAAAACTGTTTTCTTGTCTGTTTGTAAAAAATTTTTTTTTCTCATTGGGGACATTTTATTAGATATTAAATCAAGCTCAATACTTGCATTATATTTTACTTTAGTTATGATTTATATTATATACATGTATCATACCTACATAAAATATATATTATATATGAAGTATTATAGCCAAAATTATTGAAACTATTAATTGATATTTCTAAAAACACGGAACTCCTATAATACTTAAAGATCAATATTATTTGCTATATTATAGTTATTCAGTTTATATTACTGGTAATAACTATAAGTTGCTAATTACTATCAATCTAAATATTGATTTTAATTCTTTTATGCCACAATTTATACTTCATTTTATACTTTTACAACACAATTTATACTTAGCGATCTGGATATAATTTTTAACTATAAGTCCTGATATATTAAGGTTGTAAAGAATAAGCGGAAATGCATTTTAGAACTGAAAATAATAGAAGAGTGTGTCGATTGTATATTTCAAAAAAGGAATTTGTTATATTTGAGGAGCTGATTGGGTTAATATAGTATGAAAGTAATAGAATAGGGTAAATATAGTATAATTAGGCATTTAGTATGAAATGCTTTCACTTTAATTCTAATATAACTAATCCATATTAGTTCTGAGTAAGCTTGAATAATTCTTATTTTAAGCTAGATAAATCAAAGCAATATTACCCTCTACACAGGTACAGTCAGTAGAGAAATCACTTTCTTATTTTTACTCTGATATCAGGGGTCTGTCTAGGTTTTTCTTAAAAGTACCTATTTTGTGAAAATTTTGACATAATTTGTGAAAAATTAAAAATTATATTAAAAAGTCAACACTAAAACATGGTAAATATATAGATTTATCGTTTCTTAAGGGAGACAAAAATAAAATTTTAAGAAAAAGTATTTTGTGAAAATACCGTTTTTCCTAAAATTGAATTTGTGAAGGTACCGCTAAACGGTATTAAATTCGGCCTGGATAGACCCCTGGATAAGCACCTATAAAAATATCACTTCATCCACTTGTATCTACTATCACTTTCAATTGAAGATACTACACACATATAACAGCTTTAAAACATTAAAAGATAATTTTTTAATAATTTAAAAAAAATTGGAATGTTTATAAGGGACCGTTCAAAAAGTACGTACACAAAAATGGAGAAATTTTAAACCCCTCCTCCCCCNTAACAGCTTTAAAACATTAAAAGATAATTTTTTAATAATTTAAAAAAAATTGGAATGTTTATAAGAGATATACTTAATTTTTTTCTCTTTTCCTAGATGGTTGTACATCTTATAGAACCACTTCTCTACAAAGGCATAAAAATTTCCATGAACATATAAAAGCTGTAGAAGCAAAAAATTGCTGAAAAGACATGAAAGCAGCTACGACAAGTGTTGAGAAAAAAAAAATTAGTTCTTTAAAATAAGTTGTTTCAAGTCAGCTCTATTTTTAGCTATTAATGAATAACCAAACCACCTCATTGATAATTTACAGCAATTTTTAAAAGTTGAAGGCTGTGAAAACTATGCTGGAAGCCCTAGTGTAAACTATGAACATGGAAATATTGTTAATGAACTTCACTATTCTATAACAGAAGTAATTGAAAAGCGTATGCTGGCAGATGCAGAGGATGGGAAAGTGTGTGAATAATGCTATAAATTTACTTAGAGACTCTGAATAATTCAGCATCTGTTGAAAAGTCTTTTAGCACTCAAAACCGAATTAAGACAAAATATCATAACAGATTGACTGAGAAGCATTTGAGCAACTTAATGAGAATAGCTGATGAAAAAGTAGAGATAGAACATTTTCCATATGATGATGCAGAAAAAATATTCAATTCTTTTAAAAATATTATAATTAAAGAAATAATTTTTTTTTCGAGTCTGTTGTTTCTTTTTTTAATTTTTAGAAATCTCACTAAACTTTTTGAAATCTTACCCTGTTTTTGAGAAAGGGTGAGAAATTTTCTTCCATTTTTTTTCTGTAATGAAAACACTGTTAATGCAAGGAAAGCTTATCACCTCCATCCTAGATTCAAGAATTTTTTCCTTAGAAGGCCAACCTAAGGCGTTAAAAGCATACAAAGATTTTAACACATCTGTTGACATAGATTGCAAACTTTTTGTGATGCACATCTTTGCATATTTATTTAATCTACCTTTTAAAATCTAAAACTATTGTTGGCCCTTTTTAATATTAGTCAACTGAATACTCAGAACTCTAGGAAAAATATGGTGGCTTGATTTGAAACGTAAAATTTTATCAGCCAAAACTGGAGCATGGGAAAATTTACAGTTTCAACTCCAGGGAAATCACAGCCTGGGAAGGTTCTGAGTCCATGGTTAAAATACATATATATTGCTCATTTATGCTTTTTATTCAACATAGCCTTCTTTTATTCAACATTTCTTGAACATAGCCTTTTAACCACTAAATAATACAATTTGGCCAGTAACATAACAATGTTTCTATATTTATTTAGCAAAAGAACTTAATAATGATCTTCCTTTTACAGAACTAGTGACTGGTGATTGGCAAACTATGTCAAACAAAGGTGATATTTTATTATCAATACTTGTGTATGCCTTCAACCCTTGCAAGGGGTCAAAGGGTTTTTAAAACTGGCTTCAATTAAAAAAAAAAATGCTGGAATTGCGTGGGGGGTGGCTGCAAGTTAAGCCTTTCGAGTTGGTCCCCTTCTGCAATTTTCTTCTTCTTCTTTTTACCTTTTCAAGGGCCACTGCCTAGAAGTCGCCAAAACTTGGCCATTATGTATTTTGGCATTGTCATACATGATCACATCACAAGATAATAATTATTAAATCTTAAAGAGACAAAATGTAGGGCCTTTATGTTCTCAGTTAAAATTAAAACATTCACGAGTTTCATAGCATTTATTTCAAAGATTTTTAGAAAACAAAAAACAAAACTTACTGTGTTTTCTGAAGCAATCGTTCAAAATGATGACATACGAAAAACGAAACTATCATTTCATCGAAAAGCTTGGATGGTCTTAGTTTAAATCAAAAAATAGAAACTAACTTTTTTTTTTCCTTCTAGAAACCGCAATCATTTCATTAAGAATATCGATAAATTTGACAAAAACTGTCAAAAATTATGATTATCAATTTGCAACAGATGCTCCTCAACTTAATATGAAATTTGACACTAATAGATTTGAACATTAAAAGGTATTGCATTACAATAAAACACTAATATGCATTTGATATAGTTAAAAGAGAGAAACCCCATATTGCTGCTGGCTTTTTAAATGAGTTTAAAAAAATATGAGTGCCTTTCCTTGTTTTATTTATTTACAATTTTCATGTCATTGTTTCTCTAAACACGTACGATCACATCGCTGTCCGCTTCTATAGATGGCGCAAGAAGTTGTAAACATAAATACTGTTTTCTTCTTCTTCAGACAAAGTTTCCGGAAGTTGTTTTTAATAAATTTTGAGGCTTTACTGATAACACCAAACTTTTTTCACTATTCAAACGTTCAAATAACGCCCTCTATGACAATACTTGTTTCCATGTTAAAAAACCTTTCCCCCTTTCTGTTGTGAGGAAATGATTAGTATGTAGCAGAGTTGGCCAAAAATGTAATCGATTACATTTTTTGATTACAGTAATCAATTACTTGTAATCATTATTAAAATTTTCAAAAATTTTGATTACAGCTGTAATCATGATTACATAGTCGATTACAGTAATCAATTAACTGTAATCATGATTCCAAGTAATTGTGATTACAAGTAATCACAACAAAAACGATTACTGGTAATTATGATTACAAGTAATCAAAATATATGATTACATGTAATCTAAATACACGATTACGTATTCTTATATACGTATTCTTATATTACGTATTCTTATATATTCTTATATTATACACGATTACGTATTCTTAAAAATGATTCTATTTTACTGTAGATAGTGTATTTATAATGATACATTTTGCACGTATTTGCATGTACTGCATTTTGTACATATTTGTATACGAATAAATGAATGTAAATGAAATGTATGTACATATGAATATATCTAGTGCATATGTACAGACAGTTTAGTTTCACACACATGTACATACACTTATAGTGTATGTATAAAATATATGTACGTATGTATATAGCTAATAATTACGTATGTTTGTGCAAACAATGTAGACATGTACATTTATACACAATGAATATATGCATTTTATGCAAATATTTTTTTATGTAAAATGTATATCTATATTCATGTACGAATGTATATACAAGTGCTTGTTGTTTGTACAAACATACATAAATTGTCTGTACAATGTATCTCCCATGCATGCATGTACAATTTATTTATAAACAGTGTAATACATGTATACATGTACAATACAGGTATATATGTAGTATGTATGTATACATGTGCATGATATGCATGTCCAATGTATGGATGTACATATACGCAATATGTTCATGTTCAATGTATGTATCCAAATATGCACAGTACATTTGTGTACAATTGTACGTATAATGGGCGTATTTATATTTTACATATATTCATACATGCATTCGACATGCATAATGTATGTACACGAACACATTTGAGATGCATATATTGTATAGATGTATATACATATAGTGTACAGATGTATATTCAAATAATGCACATGTGATGAAATGAACATATAATGCTCATATAATGTACATATGTGTGTACATATACAGTACATATGTGCATAAATATATTGGACATAATTTTTTTGTACAAATTTTACATGTGTGCATGCATGCTATTCCAATCTGTGCGTATGGTGCAATGTATATATGTCCAATGAATGTATCCACACATGTACAATACACGTATGTTCCATGTATGCATATCCATATGTACTATATATGCACGTACAATACATGAATGTATGTACATACATTGTACATGCGTACATACATTACACGTATACATATGTACATTACATTTATGTCTAAATATGTGTACAATGCAATAAATAAAATGCATGTAATTTAACTAATAATGACACAAGCAAGTTAAATGACAAAAATCAAACGATATTTAAATTAAGTTTTCAGCTTTAATTGTTCTACATCATTTTAAAATTCTTTGAATAAAAAATTATTTTCAGATATTTTCATGAAATGTTTGGCAATACAGATTTATTTTTTTATTACATAATGCATGGTTCATAGAAATTTTTTCAAGGGCAAGAAAAACGGTAAATTTTATGCGTGGAATTAATATTTAGAAATTTAAAATAAGATTATCGTTTGGGTTCTAAAAAATATGAGGTCAAGTTTTATATGCCTTAGAATAAATTTTAAAACAAACTTTAATAACTTTACTTATATAAATTTGTAAGCATATACGTATTGAATTAAGTATATTACAATATAATTATGCATATTGTACGTACAAACAACATTTTTGCATACATTGTATATATAGGAATCACAAATTGTACGTTCATGCGTGCGTACATTCACATAAAAATATGTAAACTCATACATACTTACATGATGAATTTGCATATAGTATACAATCGTAATAAATTGTAATCGTGCAGTTTGATTACAAGTAATCACAATTGCATGTAATCAGGATTACATGTAATTATATATTTTGATTACTTGTAATCATAATTACCCGTAATCGTTTTTGTTGTGATTACATGTAATCGAAATTACTTGGAATCATGATTACAGTTGTAATCCAAATTTTGATTACAGCTGTAATCAAGATTACAAGTAATTGATTACTGTAATCAATATTGTAATCAATATTGTAATCAATATTGTAATCATGATTACAGCTGTAATCAAGATTTTTTTTAAAGTTTTAATCACGATTACAAGTAATTGATTACTGTAATCGACTATGTAATCATGATTACAGCTGTAATCAAACTTTGTAATCATGATTACAAGTAATTGATTACTGTAATTGAAAAATGTAATCGATTACATTTTCGCTCTACTCTGATGCAAATCTTGATTACAAGTAATTGATTACATAGCTGTAATTATCTGTAATCTATTACAGTTGTAATCGATTACTGTTATCGACGGCAAACTCTGGTATGTAGTGTATCTACCACTAAAATACAATTCCAATTCACAAATATATAAGACATGTTAACTCGATTCTAGGTTGGGGTATCTTTTCATAAATGAAGGTTAGCATTGTCTATAACTTTTCTCTCCACATTGGTGACCTTCGGACGTGATATGAACATGCCTACCTTGATAAAAACTCCCACTTAGATATGAACACGCCTATCTTGACAGTAACGCCCACTTCGATCTGAACCCGTCTGCTTTGATGGATAGTCCACATTGAACAGCTGACTCGCTACTTGTGACTGCGACATTATCCACCTCCTCGCGCTGCTGCTACTCAGCCTGGATCACACACAACTGCTAATGGCAACACAGGAGCAACCACGACCGCGAACGTAATACAACTCTCATGATCAGCGAAAGTACGGTGATCTTAATAAAGCTCTCCCGGCTTCTCACAAAGCAGCAATAAATCAACTAGCGGTATCCATGTTCATCGAATTCTATCACAGCTATAATTCTTGTGGGAGAATATTGTGTAGTGTATCTACCATTACGAAAATACAATTCCCATTCACTAGTATATAAGACATGTTAACTCGATTCTATCGTCACTGCCCTACCCCAGCTACAGTTCCCGCCACCCCAGCGGACCCAGCACCGGCAGAGTGTGTGGAGAATGCCGTCCCGGTAGAGCCCACCACTACTACTACCCCAACTCTGGACAAATCTCCAAAGAAAAAGCTAAAAACCCTCATCCGAGGCCTGAATAGTGATACAGATATTTTGGAATTAGAGAAAAATCTCAAAGAATTTGGACTTTCCACGGAAAAGATTGTGCAGCTCAAGAGAAGAAGTGGGCGGGAGCTTAGGCCCCTCCCACTATTCCTCATCATCCAATGGGATACCAGCAGCAGCCATAACATCTACAACATCAACTCTATCCTAGAGAGACCAGTTAAAATTGAACGTTTCAGAGGCGGACGATTTCAAGTCCAATGCTTTAAATGTCAGAAATTTGGGCACACACAGCGAAGTTGTACAGCCACGGTTCCCGCCTGCATGAAATGTGCCAAAGATCACCACACGTACGAAGCCCTACACCGAGCCTGCTTCATGTGTTAACTGCAATGGTGAGCACCCAGCCTGTTTCTCGGGCTGCGGTGCAAGACCCAGGAAGTTTCTCAAAGAAAGGATAACAAAGAAGGCCACAGACCCTGCTACCATATTTCTTAGACTCTTTCAAGAAATGAAAGAACTGCTGAAAGATGAAGAGCTAGTAAAGTTCCTCCGCTCCCTCCTCCCAGAGTCACAGAATTAGTGCTACAGGACGTCCTCCACATGACTCTCACAGCTATAGGCTGTGATGAACTTTCAAAATTATTTATCCTTGAAATTTAGATTTTCAAGTTAAGACTACTCTAGATTCGATGAATCGGTAAGTGGCGCTTCGCGCCAAAGGCCGAGGTTACTACTATTTCCAGCATTCCAGCATTCTATCGCCATTCAAACTCCAGACACGGTCGAAGAAGGATGTCCCCTCTTGAACCGGCTATCATGAACGACGACGGGAGTACTGGCAAAGGACAGTCCGAGTGTTGCGGGGGCCAGACCCCCGAACTGTCGGGCATCCCGCCTTTAGCTCCCAAACATCTCGAGCTTACCCATTAACTCGAGCTCTTATCAGAGCTCGTTATTAACCGGAATAGGGTAAGCGCGGCTCAGCCTGGGCCACGGGATGCGGGACTGTCCGGCTCTCTTTCGACGCGGACGGGGACGGCTACCCCAGAACCGCACGGATCGTCTGAGAGCTTGGCAGGACCCAACGCGGTTAGGTTACAGGCAGATAAAATAAAAACATAGATGAGGTTACCTCAAACGTGGAACTATTTCGGATCAGAGAAGATATGCCATGCCAAAGATCAAGGACGATAACATCCAAAAAATCATCGAAGCCCAATATGGAATCATCAGAAAGTTATTTGACCAATTCAGCATGAAAATAAATGAAATAGAACTGTTAAAAGCTGAAATTGGTAGATGGCAAAGAAATTCAGAGTCGAGTGGTGGCCGTAAAAAGCCTGAGAACCAAAATGATAACAATTTAGATAAATACAAACTAAAATTAAATAAAATCTCAACACCCAGAAGAGAGAAAGAGGTTGTTTATTTGTATCTCGACCCGCCCTATTAAAGGGCATACGAGAGTAGATACATAAAACACCAGAAATTATATCAACAACAAGTATAAAAAGAATAAAACACAAGCGACAAATAGTTAAAAACATGACTCTAAATCCAGCCAACACATGGAAGATCATAAAAATCATAATTAAAAGAGCAAAAACAATAGATACATA